TTCACTCTCCAACTCCCTTTCAGTCTTAAAATTCTATGCGCAGGACCGGTGTGGTAAAATGGCGTGTCACACGAAAACTCTTCCCCAAATTCCTTGCTCGAACGACCCCTTCTCGCATCCAACTACCATCTTCTTAAAATTTCCCAACGTCTACCAGGCCCATCCCCCGGAATATATTCTGTCAATACCAAACACATAGAACCCCGCCCACTTCGCAACGACAAGATAGGACCTCGTAATGGAACTCTCCCAAAGATGCTGCCCCTTCTCACAATATTCAACTAAATATTTGCGAAATCTCTAATATTGAAACAAATTAAGCTAGTTCTTATCTTACCTACACACACGTTCACGAAAGTCCGGCAAGAAGGTGATAGCCTGTCGTGCAACGTCCAGATCATTACTTTGCATTGTACTAATATAAGCCTCCTTCAGTTGACATCGGGTCTGAAAATCAGGACAATAATTGGTGTTACCGAAGTTGGTGGCAGCCACCAGGCGAGTCGCTGATCGAACTCCATTTCCTTAATTGCTTTCATTTTCTATTTTTCTCTGCACTCACTCGACCTGCATGATGTCTTGCGACCACAGTGACCTCATCTTCCGAAGTTTCACGTTTGACATGTGGCTCACCCACCTCGGATGCCACTTCCTTGAAGAAGCCTATCCCTACTCGCTGCGTATTTTCTGCATATTTCGCTGCCTTAGCAGCCGATTTAGCAGCAGGGTTTCTTAACAGGACCACACAGAAAAGACAAAGTCACGTTAGCCACGCGGCGGAGCGAAGAAGAACTGCCGCCTCCGCCCCGAGACGAAGCCCGCGCGAACTCTGCTCGTCTGTATTCTGCTAAGACTGAGACTGTGGATGGGAAGGGATCGTCATGAGTGTGCCCCTGTCTAATAAGTAGTGCCAAATGCATTTTAATTGGCACTATTGAGGGGGCTCTCGTAGAAACACGGTCGATTCCGAAGTATCATAAGCCTGTGTTCATACTTTGCGATTACAGCGATACAGAGTACAGGGATCGGTTGGCGCTCAAGGTACCGACTTCGCTTAGAACGCTAATTCTCCCCAGAGCGCTAGCGACTAGCACGGATCCGATACCTATACCATCCCTTTCGCTCAAAACGCTGATTCGCTACAAATACCGGGTCGAAAGTATGAGTACAGCCAGAGCTGCCAACGGAAAGCAAAACCGTACCAGATGCACATCAATAATTAACCACAAGTCTGCTTAAAGGGTTTAATATAGGTGTATAGGTTTTGCATAAAAATCGAACCTGAGGTTTTTGAGTGATGATGTCAAGAGCAAAGCCGAAAGCTGAAGCTCGAATCGATTCAATGGGTGAACGCATCAATCGAATAACATGAGGAACTAACTGCTCGCAACTAAAAGGTATTACTTTTACTGGAAAACCGAGTAAATGGAAAAACTAAACTGACCATTCTGGGAACCGTCGAATGGCAAACTCCATGTCGTCAATAATATCGTCGTGCTGAAACGCCATTTCAGCCATACTCATCCGTAAATGAATGCTCTCCATCGTTGACTTCTACCAGGTGCACAAACTGTCCACCAGTCAACGACAGTCTGAAATGATTATCTACGTAGGCAAAGCCCAAGGCTGCGTTTATACTTTGCGACACACGAGACTTTGGTGCAATAATTCGTGCGGATTACGGTGACGACAATTTTGCACAAGTTGTCCATCAAATGTTATGAGCTTTGTTCCTACACGATATATTCCATCTTTTCCACATTCTACGGCATTTAGCGGTGTGAGGTGCTAAGGAACGATTAGGGCAGGGACGAGGACTTTGCCTGAGACGAGGAAGAATGCGCTACGGGTGCGCAGCGTTCTCTACATGCAAAAAGAGGTTTTCCCACTTCTTGAGAATCATACTCCACTCTACTTCTACTTCTTGAGACATATTCAAGAGTACTGGGGTGGTATTACCTTTCATAAACACTGAGATATTCAAAGAAGTACAACAAGAAGTGCAGCTTGCGAAAATTTCGTGCGGCCCTTGCGGCTGCTGGCTCCGCCTCCAACGTGGACAAAACTGGAGCGCGATTGCCCACCTTCCACGATTCATTCTCGTTGCTTGACATTTTCACGATTCCATTTTTTGTGATTTTGCTTATAGTCAATTTCTACGATCAAATCTCTTTCTAGGTACCACCAATGGCTTCAGGTGGTGGGGAGTCCACCTCTCCACGTATATTTGCTCCAAGTTCATTCACTTTTGATGATTCTCAGTTATGTTTCAACAAAAATCACTTTGGTCGGCCAGATTTCAATGTTCAGCGTTTCATGAACTTGGCCAGGCGGTAAGTTCAACTCTACGTTACTTCAAAGTTCCGAACAGCTCTCATTCTAGGAGGGGAACTATAATTTTCAGCATTTTGATTTCAGTCGAGCTGGCCTCAAGCAAATACAGCAAGATCTACGAGTCTATTTGAAAAGTGTTCAACATTCGATGATCGAACTGATCAACGACGACTATGCTGATTTTGTTCACCTGTCTTCGAATCTTGTCAGCTTGCAAAGCACTATCGACAAAATTGAAAACGATATGAATGTGAGTAATTTGGTGCAGTTCAGCCGCGTTCATACTTTGCGTTTGTGGAAATTCCCTCGTGGGTTGGGCGGACCAGCAATTCGGGAAAATGCGTCCTTACTTTGCGTCAGCATTTGGAACGGGCAGCGTGTTCAGCTGCCAGGAAAGCTGAGGTATCGATCTAGCGTTGTGAACGATCGGTATCGATTTAGTAGTTTGACGCTGGCGTACGGTCAGAACGCTGACGGAAAGTATACTCGAAATCCCTGAGATCGGGTAGGCGTGGCCGCATGCTTCAACTTCCCCTGAAGGTGTCAATGGCTGCGTTCATACCGTGCGACGTAGTCGTCAACGTCGACGTAACCGACGTTTTAGTTCGCGAAGAGTATACGTATCGATCCGACGAAAGCTGCGTAAGTGACGAAAGCTGCGTAACCGACGACTACTTCACGAAGATTAGATACCTATCGATCCGACGAAACCGACGTTTTCGACGAAAGTGACGAAACCGACGTAAGCGACGTAACCGACGTTTTCGACGTATCTAATCTTCTGTCGTCGGTTACGTCGACAGGTGGATCGATACGTATCTAGTCTCTAGTCGTCGAAAACGTCGGTTACGCAGCTTTCGTCACTTACGCAGCTTTCGTCGGTTTCGTCCGTTACGTCGGATCGATACGTATATAATCTTCGCGAACTAGTCGTCGAAAACGTCGGTCGCTTTCGTCGGTTACGTCGACGTTGACGACGCCGTCGCACGGTATGAACGCAGCCTATGCTTCTGGTGAGATATTTTTATCTTGACACAATTGTTGTCGTGTCTCTGTCCAAACAGAACAAGATGACAGTTGTCCCAGACTGGAATATTCCACGAGTAACCAGTTCCATGCCAAATGCCACACCTACTCTGAGGGATAAAGAGTATATTAATCCATCCTAAATGAAGGCCGACGTGGGTATTTCGGCACACCACCGAGCCCCTTCCCTTTTTGCCCCGAATTCAGTTAGCGCTTAGGCAAGGAATGGAAATGGCTGGATCATCTGACCGTGAGACTTGCCACGCTCCTCATTGAGGACCACGGTTGTTTTTACACATAAATCAGCTTAATAAACATTACCTTCTTAGAACGGAACGCAGCAACACTGCCAAACACCTCCACAATACGCAACTGCTTTATTCACATTACATTCAATGAATATCTGCTGCATAATGACTGATTTCAGACCATATGGACAGAATTCGAGAGCAGCACTAGTGATGCCGTCCGCACGGCTGAACGCGTCGAATCGTTTTGTGTAGAACTGTCTCAAAATCGAGCATCTCAGGTCAGTCTTGTTCATTTTGCATATGCGTTAAAACAGCGGGAGGGAACGCCAATCTTCGTTCATCAGAAACAGAAGGGTTCTGCAAAGTAGTAATAAAAAGGTTGTTTCTGCTTGTAGGTGAAAGGTTCTTGACCGTGTTGACGTCACATAACGCTAATTCCTTCAGTGTTAGGCTTTTGTTGAATGAGAAAAACTTTGCAATTCTTGTTGTTGAATAGCATATTTCAGGTCGAGATCCGTCATCGTATCTCATTTTTGTCAGCTCTTCAACGACTCTCCAGTCTAATTAATAATGTGCCAGAATCAATTGGTGCACTTTGGTATGTTTTGCAGCTACTATATTCAATTACTCCCGATTTTCTGTGACAATCGTTTCAGGCTAGAAAAAGTTTCCTCGTGCCTGGTCGATGCTAGTTCGTACAAAGAAGATCTCGTGGAAGGCAGCAGAGAAAGCAAGATGCTCAATAAGGTAGATTCTATTACTATTTTTTGTTTATAATTTCTTCTACTATTTCTGTTTCTGTATATTGTTGAGGTTATTTTCCTTGGAAGTTCATCCACTGAACTATCAATCATACAGTTTTCTCTTCCCATGTCCCAAAATATATTGCGCCGACGATTGTAGAGGAGATAAACCTTTTTGTAATGGGGGTGCAGGGTATGAGGAATAGATCGCACAATAGGACTCTAACCCTATCCACGAAAATTCCTGCGAAAATGACTCCCTCCCCCCCCCTCAGATGTTCCTCTCTGCCAGTACCCCCTGCTCCATCCCCCATCCTAACACCTTCCCGAATTTCACCGACTTGCTACGGTTTTTCTGGAAGTTTTAGTTGTTTTTTTTTCCTCAAAGCTCTCCAGTTCTTGGTCAGAAAACTATCCGTGTGCGCGGGTAGGAGGAGCAGGGGATGTATGAGTAACGTCCTTTGAAGCACTACAAGAAAAACCGGGATAGTCGGCAATCGAAAAATTTTTTTCTCAAAGGCAATTACCACCCTCCCTCTAGTGATCAAATGCGATCCCTCCCATCGCTAGGGATCCCCGTGCGACGTGTCCTGGCCATTATACGTTAATCCCCGCATCTTTCATATTCCTTTTCCTCTAGTCAGCAATAGCATTATTCAGTAACTTTATAACGTTCAATTTTCCTGATTCCGTATTTTCTCAACTTTGGGCCATAAGGAATTCACCAAGGTATCGGGAAAAGGTTAGTCTCTTGGTTGGAGACGCGGTCCGTAAGTGGTTTCACCGCGTTCGCGCTTCAGCCTTGCGACTGGGAGAATCGGCGATCCAGCATTTTGAGCCATTCAGCGTTTCGGACGATTGCAGATCAAAAGAGTGGATGGGTATCGATCGGCACCGACAGAATCCCCTTAGTCGCAAAGTAAGAGCGCACCCATAAATATGCCCTGGTTGGGTATTCTTCAAGAAAAGCGGTGCCGTTTATCCACCCTTTTTCTTCAGTTCGTAGATCATGTCATTCCTTTATTAGTTTTCCACTGAATATGCTCTTCGAACTTCTCTTCCTTTTAGTTGCTGACCAAACTGGAAACCGTTCTCTGTGATGAAGGTGTGCGAAGTGCTAGTGGGGACTGCTCCTCCTTACCACATGTTCTGTCGTTGCTGTCATTAGCTGACTGCACTCACTCATTGACTGCCCGACTTGTCTCGGACTTGATCTACCCAAAGCTTGTCCACCCTGCCAAGGACCACTACGAAATGCTGAAGGAGGTTTTCAGTGGTGTTAATAAGGTGAGCTCTCTACTTTTGCTCCCGTTTTCGTGCATGAGCTCATTCAGGTGAGGCGCTTGTGCAGTCTTGTTCGCTGTGCTTGAAGGGGCCTGTTAGGTGGGTAGGGTTTGGCGCCGCCCCAAACCCATCCAGGTTGACACGCTCCATCATCCGCAACCAAAGGCTGTGTAGTTATTAGCTTATATAATCACTTTTTTCTTGCAGATGCGCACAAACTGGAGTGAAATTCTCGGTCCAAAGTATACTGGACAAGTACAGGCATTCCTTGAACAGACACTTCTCACATTTTTGCTCACTTTCATCGACAAGGTACTTTCGCAGCAACTCCGCGATCTTTTTTACTTCTTTGTAAGTCCACTAGTTTCTGGCAAATCTTCGATTTCCAGTGTATGGGTACGGTAGCCGTGCCAACGAATACAACAATGTTCCATCGTTGTTTCACAGCAACGCAAGAATTTGTTGAGAATTGGCCTCCCCACCCGCATTCGAGGTATTCGTTCATATTACCGGTTATTTCTTTATGTCTCTAGTTCATAGTAAGCTCCAATTTTTGCGTTAAAAAACTTTTATAGGGCAATTTTGAAAGCGATTCGTGATAAGTTCAATTTGATCGTGTATTTCAAACTGGTTACTCACAAAGCTGTCCGCCAGGTGGATAGTGAAATGGCTCCAGAATCGCTAAAGTTTTCCTCGGATAATGAGGTAACGTTTTCTCACGTCTTTTTCTTTAACTGAACTGTTTTCCTTTGTCAATGTTCGTCTCTTTTAAACTATACAACTTCGTTAAGATGCCGGAAGGAGGTGTACTGTGCGATGTCTCCTCGACAATATTGCGAACTATTGAAAATGTGTGGGCAGAAGACGTTTTCCTTTATCCCATTACCGATAAGCTGTGGGATTTCACTCTAAGGCTACTCGGGAAACATCTGTCCTGGGCGAGGACGTTGATAGAGTAAGTTATCTATAATTATTCATTTTTGGGTAGAACACTTCTGCAAACATTCTGGAAAAGAAACTCAGTACGATTATCTGCGTGGTGTATCCTTGCTCTGTGCAAGCTCATAGCTAGAACTGTACCACTTTGGCTACTCGGTAGGGGTTGGTATACACAGTTGTGGTGAACTAATGTTCTTGTTTTCGCCCTTTTCTCCTTCCCTTTTTCTTACTACACGGAGTTTTCCTCTTTCCCTTATTCCTATTTCCCTTTTCTTCCTTCCTTCTTACTCACTTTCCTTTTTCTTATTCGCCTCCCTTCAAATGCTCGGCACAGGACGAAACGAGTTAACATAGGGTGACATTGAAATGTAGCCGTCTATTCCTTCATCGTTTTTACCAGTGTTGAGTTAAGCATGGCTTTTTTGTCCAAGAACCATTGTTGATCTCATTTGTCATTTGACGTGAGGATGGCAAAGACATAAAAGCTTTGAGTGGCAAAAGCTAAGATCTACTTGAAACAGTCTTCCGAGTTTCAGAAATGAAAACCTTGATAGCAAATGTTACACACAGTAAAACCTGCATTCGATTGAACTGTTTTTTGCTCTTCTGCATGCTGTCAGGTTAGCTTTGGGCGTAGTTGTAGTAGGGCACGGAGGGCATCGACTTTTGCTACTTCCCAGCTACGTGTCAAGCATGCAGTCGAGATTTGTGAAACCTTGTGAAGCCATGAAGGTCACAGTTTGTAGAAAGTGCTTGTCAGCTCTAGTGAAAAATAACTGTGAACTCTTGTAAAGCAATGAACTCCACAACTGGAAGCAGCGAAAGTGCAGAACCCACCCCTTACCTCCCGTCGCCGAGCTGCGTATGAAAGTACATATTACTTCTGTCTGGGAGTTGGGTAGCGTTTGGTATACTTACTAGGGTGAGATTCCAGGTCGAAGTGGCCATTCTTGAGTGAGCCTACGCCATCAAATGCTTTCGAACGCTGGTTTAAGCTCTGCTCTCAATATTTACTGAGCTTCTCTCTGAATGGTGTGTAAAGATATTCTCTCGCATTGATCTACATTTCCTAGCCAATGGCCACTTCGGCTTTACAGGGAGCTTCCCTTGGTAGCCATGTTCAAGTTTCAGAAGATGAGCATCATGTTTTAGAACGGCTACGACGGATACTTCTGCTGAGTTGGGTGGCGTTGAGGCATGGCGTGCACTGTTGTGTGTTCGGCATGACCTTTCCACAGTAGCGTCAAAAGTCTTTGACTTGGCGCTTGAGCAGTTATGGCCAAAACTTGCGTGAGTTTTTTACTATCTTTATAAACGGTGCTTTTGAAGTTTTGAATTTGATATAGTTTACATTTTTCAGTGATTTGAATGTCGACACAACGCTATTTGGTCAGTGTCTAACTCGATATAACCTCCTTGTCGATGCAGAATGTAACAAGATAGATGAACTAGTAGTCAAACTGGTTTCATCTTTGTTGTCTAAGGTTTCTCTCTAATGAGTCATTCATAAATTTAAAGGCAATGGGCACGATTGCTGGAGGCGGGCGGTGCTGTCAGCGTCATTGGTGGAGGGGCTGCGGGCGGTGTTTGGTCACACCCCCACTTAGCCCTTCTACCAATGGCGTTATCACGGCCACCCCGCCCCTCCACCCCCCGCGGTCGTGCCCACTGCCTTTGAGGCGTAATTTATTTGCCTCGTTATTTATGGTTTATGTTTCTATTTCATAGGAACTTGACAGCGTATCCGATGTTCCCAAGCAGTACAGATGGACAAAGAAGCCATCACCATCTACGCATTCTGCGTACATAACTACTGCTCACACAAAACTTGATAGCTTCTCGAAAGAACTTGCCGAGAGAAATCATCCCAAAGCCGAGCAGTTGGTTCGCTCCGCCTTGGTCGCGTCATACACTCGGCTCGTCACAAAGGCTGGAGAGGTATGCTCCATAGGCAGGCCTATCTTTAGATAATAATGGTGTGATTTGGTGTGATTTTAGGTACTCGACAGCGTTGATGCGACCGGATCAAGCCTCTCGCGATTCAACCGTAAAACAGGAACACTCGATGGGACGTCAGATGACGATAAAATCCGAACACAGGTAGGCAAATGTGCTGCATGAAATAGGCAAAAGTAAAGGCAGTCCTGGACTTCATCTATTTTACCGGTTAGATTACATTCGTTGCAGTGTCTCTCTCAGCCATTTTCCTCTCGTTTTGTTGAATGCTATAACATAGGAAGTAGACGTGCCATGAAACATGATTTTTAGCAGATTGTACTGCCTATTAAAATCCGTGTTTCACGGCGTGCACAAGATTTTGGACGCTAGACGAATCCTGGATATATCATTGAATTGGGGTTGGCTGCCGTATTATGGCATTTGCGCGAAGTTCGGCTTGGTGGGGGCACCAGATGGTACTCAGCTAAGCTTGTACAGGTTCCCTTGGGAAGCTAATTTCCCTGCGACAAAAGTGGTTCACTCGAGCAATGTTGCAGCTTATCAGGAGTTCACAGGTCTGATCAAAGTCGGTTAAGATGTACTAACAAAAGTAAGTACAGAAAGTAGTGCCCACCCAATGCGCAGAGTGTTTGCTCTCTGGACTGTAGCCCTAGCGCTATGGCGAAAACCGTTTAGCTGGAAGGCTCGGTGGCGTAACGTCTTGCACTCCAATTAAGGTGAAGTGCGGATCCGGAGTAATAATTTTCGGAGCGCGAACTGCAGCTTCAAACAGCTGTTCTTATATGAAAGAAGATCTAAAAGAATGACTAGCCAGAGGAAGGGGCATTTTGCTCTTTTGCTACTTCCCATCGGTGTCGACCCATCTAGAGAGCCATTTCGTGAGCTTACAAGAATTGACAGGTTCTACCATGGTGGCTAGACGAGCTTGCTCCAGATTCACAAGAGTTCACAGGTTTCACCATAGTGATACTTGTAAACCGGAAGTGAAGCTGCGAAAGTGCAAAATGCCCTCCGTCGCCGAACTGCGCCTGAGTAACCCTTAGAAAATTTTTGACCTAAAGACCATTTTTTTCTCACTATGCTCAGCCACAGCTCATTATTCTCCACTGTTCTCACTTTTTTTTGAAAGTGATTTTTCTTGCAGATTTTCCGAGACCTGTCCTTTTGTGAGGCGAAAGGATCAGAAATGGATGTCGTGGTAGAAGGAATGTCGAAATTGATACAACGCTCACGACCCGAGTCTTCTGAAGCGAATACAAATGGAAACACAAATGGCACCGTAAACGGACCTACACCTGTGCTTCCAGAAAACCAAGAGCTGCCAAATACGGGTTTGTTCCTGCCGATGCAATACACATCTCGCTATATATGAACGGCTCAAAGCCTAGATGATGTTGTGGCAAGTTGCCCACTTATTGCGCTCCCAGTCCGCTTTCAATTTCCCATAGGTTCCTCTGCTGGTGGTAATCAAGCCCTTTATTTTAAAGAGAAGGTAAATCAGTGTAACACTTATGTGAGAGGATAAGGACACCCAGCTGGACAGCGGTTGTCCTCGGAAACTCAATCACGTTCTCTCCATATAGCATTCAGTAAGCGACTGCGATTCTGAATGTAAGTAGAATGAATGCTGCATCTCAAGTGTTATTGAACGCAGGCGAGATTTTACCCTTTCTGCTTAGAGGGGACTTTTTATTTTGTTGGTCTGTCCAGGAATTCAAAATTACCTGATGAGCCACTTGGAGAGACCTGGTCAAGTTTGGTATGGGTTGGTTGGGACTAGATGTGTAAGGCGTCAACTATGTTGACTGCGGAGTGCTGAGCGCAAGTGAGAGATGTCCAACGGCAAAGATCAGTCACTCGGTAGCCGAAAACTCAGAAACCGAGGAAATAGGAAAAGGTAAACAAAGAGTAGTGGGAGTGCGGGAGGCACACTCCAATGGGTGGGGAGTGGCATAAATAAGCTTTGCTTATTACTGGAGTTTATAAATCAGTTCTGAGGCGTTTTGGTCAGAGAAATCGCTGAAGAAAGGAGAGGATCTACAGCTCGTTTAGCGTGTTGGAGGTATGCGCAGGCCAACAGTGGGTGAAGGTCCAGACCAACAAGGGGCGGGCGTGCTCTTAAAGGCCGTCCCGCGCTCAAAAACTGTGGTTTGTGTGGCTCAAGTACTAATGAAAAAATGATAAACAATCCAGAAGTTAAGAAAGAAGCACTGCATCCCTCCCCTCCCTTCCTCCTTCCCTCCCCCGAAATGCTCCTTATAGAACTCCATGCTGGACCGCTTTTATACGTGCACAAGGCAAAAAAAGGGGTTGTTGGACAAGTTCTCACTTGCTTTGCCAGCTCTTCCCCTTTCACCCCATTTTCACACCATGTGGAGAGAGCTAACGGCGGAGCAAGTGCACCATCAGGAAGCAGTTAGAAATGAAACTGATCGTCACCCTGGAAAGTGGGCAGGGCCGTGGTTTTGTGGCGAACGGGTTCCGCTTTCCTCGCGTATTTTTCGTCTGCGAAGGTGGCACATCCTCCATGCGCGCAGGCAGGACTACTAAGTCAAAGAAGGCGTCTGAACATCATATTAACTCAGAGCACGCCTTTAAAGGCAGTTGGCACGATAAATCGCTATACAGGTGTAGGATTTGTACAACTGGCTCAACAGAATTCCGTGACCTCGGACAGGCGCGTGCGTGAAACCTTTTCCAAGGAGGGTACCTCTATAACGCCCTATTGAGCAACAACTTTACGTCCCAAACGCCTTCCTTGCCCGCCCGCCCACAAACGGACGACCGTTTCTGACGCTCGTATTCATTCATTTGCTGAGCAAATTATGAAGCAAAGGGATTGGTATGAAGCGGCGGTGATGCTGCATGCATATATGGGTACACATATGCAGCCGTACCTTCGTAGCGGTGATTGGCAAGGAGTACGGGAAACTCGTCCGAAATCGATTTACAAGTCACTGAGAACGGAGGCTTTTTCTTCGCCGGATTTTGACCGTTTCACTCCGTTCTTTCGCCATTTCCCCACTATACAGCGCCCTACTAGCATTTTAGGCTAAGTAGGAAACCATCGTGCCAACTGCCTTTAAGCGCGAGGTACCTATTTAAAAATGACTAGTCTATTTTTTACGGGTCATTTCCATTTGTAGAAATATTTACAGAAAAAAAAGATAATTGGCAATTTATGGTTCACTGTGAGAATGTTGAAAACGTTCTGAGACTTTCTTGACAGCAGTGTTCAGCCTTTAAAATCAGCTTTTCTGCTTTAGAAGCCGTAATTGATGCGAACTTGAATATACTAGATTCGGATACCAAATCAGATCCATTGGACCAAAAGGAGAAATCGAATGACTCGGAGTCAGATCGTCCTGTGATGGATCCTTCTGCTGTTTCATGATAGGAACTTTATTTCTGTCTAATGATTGTAAGCATATCGTACCGGTCAATGCCTTGTCTTGATTTGAGCCGCTTAATTGTCTTGTTGTGATAGATGACTTTTTCTGTGATACCGTATGAAAAGTTCATAATTATAATTGTTAAAAGACAGCATTTGAGATGATTGATTATGTAACAGCTTGCATAAATTATTTATTATTTGAGTTAATAACCCGTAATGGCCGTGATTTCTCCATAGTAATGCTTCTATCCTGATGAGTTGAAGTAAGCGCAACGTGCAGTAAGGCAGCGCATTAAGTCTTCTCCTTGCTAGATTGGCAATGGCCGCTACATGGGCAGATATCCAACGTCTTGTGGCGGATCTGCAGAGAGTTCAACTTTCAGAATCGTCGAAAAAGTCGGTATTTCTGTAACTCACTACTTTATTTGAAGTGTACAGTATTGTTCGCTGCACATGAGAAAGCTGTCACGGATTCGGCGCCGCGCCAGCCTGTTTCTT